CTCTGGGCGCAGAGAGGGAGCAGGAGGGGTGCTCACCTCTGTGAGGTCCGTGTCCTTGGTGTGGAAGACTGTGGACCAGAACCAAGCATTGAGGGAGACCTGAGGAGGGAGGGGCTGGTGAGTGTGGCACCCCAAGGAGGGAGAGACCCCCCGCAGAGGGCTCACACCTGTCTCACTTTGGGGCAGGGCTCTTCAGAGCAGAGCAATGTGCTTCCCCTTGCTCCCGGAGCCCACCAGACAGGCCTGTGCCCCTCCCCTCCCACCAGCCCGGCTTCCCCCCTGAATCCCCCAAGGGAGTGGGGCTTTGAAGCCGCCACAGGTTTCTGGCTTGGCCTGGGAACCAGTTCTGGCCAAGTCAAATTCCCTGGTTACTCAATCCTAAGACAACAGCCCTGGGGGGGCCCGCCTCCTTCCCCAACTGGCAGGTGAAGACAGCCCCACCTGGGCCAGGGAGCCAGTGACCTCAGCCCCTGGGGGCGGGAATGAAGTGGGTGGGGTGAGGGGCTCGAGCCAGCGTGGGGTGTGTCTGGAGCCAGCAAGCGAGAGGGAGATGAAGCAGATCCCACTGGGGCCAAGCCTGAGGAGGAGGCTCCGCCACCCGAGCCCAGCTTCCTCCTGGCTGGGCCGGCCCAACCCGCTGGGCCAGTGGCTGCTGCTCCGAGTTCTGGGAGAAGCGAGGAGCAGGGCTGGAGAGGCTGTGGTGGTCAAGGGCCCAGGGGAGCAGCTGATGCCTTCTTCCTGGAAATTAACTGCCGGGAGAAAGTACACATCGTCTGGCGAATGAGCCCTAGATCCCTCACGTGGGCCTGGTGCTGGCACCTCTTTTAGGGACTGCTGTACCCACGCAGAGGCCCACATAACTGAAGGAAGGGTGGGCTGGGGCTGACATACACACTTGGGCTGGGCGGAAGGGCTGGGAAATCAGTGACAAGCAGTCAAAGGGAGCAGCAGCCAGCCGGGATGCCCTGGAGGCAGGGAGGGACACGCCAGGGTGGGACAACCCTGCCAGAGATGGGCTAAGGCGGAGCGGCTCACTTGGGTCCAGGACAGCAGGAAAACTGGCCAGGCAGGGGGCCGAGGGAGCAGGCTGAGAAGCCACTCTCCACCAGGCACTGCAGCCGGGAGCTCAGACAGGAGGATGAGTCCCCTCCTGCAGGAGAACGGGAAGGACAATGGCGAGGGGCCCGCAGGGCTCTCCCTGCTCCTCACCAGCCTGTCTGGCCTGGGTCCTGGGCTGAATCTCGCTGTTTATGCTCCTCAAGTCCTGGGACAGATGAGGCTGCCCGTGCTCCTTCCTCCCTTCCCAGCCCTGATGGCAGGTGGTTATTCTACATGCAGTTATTTCCTGTTCTATCCCTCGTGCTGCCCCTTCCCCAGAGACGGTAATGGAGGCATGACCTGGAGGCTAGAAACGGGACAGAATAGGGTGGCTTCTTGGACGCTGCCCCCACAAAGTGGGATGCTCGGAGTCAGCTTGGGGAGAGGAGCAGGCTCAGGGCTGGAGACCCAGGTGACCACGTGGGCCAGGTCTCCCAGGCAGGCCTGGAACAGGGACATCCTTGGGGAGAATGGCCCTGGAGCCAGTGTGAGAGGGAGGTGGAGGGGAAGGCAGAAGGGACTGGAAGCCAGCCAGGCCTCCTTGTAATCCGGCAGGAAGGGGGAGGTGACAAAAGACTGAGCTAAGTGGCGGTTGGAACACTGAGAGCAGGGGAGGGGCGGGTTGCACAAGGCCAGGGCTGAGCTGTAGGGCCCAGGGGTGGGGGCTGCTTGGTCTCCTGTTCAACTGCCTCTGCACCCCTGAAGTCCCCTCTCCACTGGGTAGTGTCCCATTCTGGGGAGCTCCTCTTCAGGAAAGATAGTGTCATTAAGAATATAGGCCCTGAGGCCAGACAGCCAGGGTTCAAATTCCAGCTCTGCATTCCCTGTGTCTTTGGACAGGCTATTTAGCCTTGCTGGGCCTCAGTTTGCTCATCTGTAAAATGGGAATGATAACAGTGTTGATAAGGATTTAAGGAGTAACACAGGTGCAGTGTACAGCCCCATGCCCAGGACAGGGAACAACGTGAGTGTTGTTTCTCCCCACCTTGATGACCAGCATGAGACCCTCACACCTCTCCACAGACCCAAAAGGCCAAGTCTGCCTCCCGCTCTCCCCATAGGTCAGGCAAGTCTAGGTGGAGAAGAGGCGGTCTCCCCACAGCTGCCCAGGCCCATCCCACAATTCCAGGCTGGGGACAGAATGTCAGAGCCTTTACAAGAGATGGGCCCTTGGTTCAAGTTCTGACTTAGCCCCTAAATAGCAAATGGCTTCTCTGTGCCTCAGTTGCCTCACCTACAAAACAGGGCTAATAACAGTGCGCACTGCCTGAGGGTCCCAAGGATGGTGTCTGTGAAATGCCTAGCACAGAGAAGCCACTCAATAAACGGCTGCTGACTTGTGGCCTGGTATACAGTAGGTGCCACATAAATGTCAGTTTCCTTCATCGTCCAGCAAGCTGACCCCCCACCATTTCCCTTTACCTGACCCCATCCTCCTCTTCCTTAAGAGTCCCCATGTACCAGGTCAAACCCCGGGTCTCTGAGCCCAGAACACAGACGCCTCAGCTATGGGAAGAGCCCCCGCCTCCTGGCTCCTGAGCTCCTATCCCACCAGGAGGCACTGAAGGGACACCAGTTCCCTTCACTCAGTTTGTAATCAAGACTCAAGGGAAGTGGACAGAGGGACGGACGCAGAAGGAAGGGAAAGCCCCCCAGATGCAAGTGTCCCCCTGTTCTGGACTCCTTAGCCAAGCTCAAGTAGAATGGGGAGGCAGATGGGGTGACTGGCCAATCAGACAGGCCAGGAGGATGGGCTGGCCCAGCAGGCGCCAAGGACTTCTTGTAAACACGGAGGGAAGGGGGAGGCCAGGGGCCGGGTGCCAGTGAGGGTGGAAATGAAGGGGACAGGGAAGGCGGGGTGGAGGGAGAGTGGGAGACTGTTTCGGTCTGTTGGAAAATAAGAAAATTGAGACAAAAATATCCCAACCGTGAAACCGGTTGGATGCCAAGTGAGCCAGATCTGTCAGGAATTCGACCCCTGTGTTAAGCCCCAGTGCTCGGCTGTCACTGACACCGTGGTGGTGGGGACAAGTGGGTCTTTAAATAGCTCGGTGTCTCAGAAGTGGGGGAGGCAGAATGTTAAATATGACGCCTGCTGCCAGCCTGCCCCTTGCCCCCGCCCCCTTCCAGGCCACGGTGTCTCACCCCCTGCCTCACGCAGGGCAAGCCGGCCCCAGCTCACTCCTGAGAGAGATGGGGGAAGAGGCGGATGGAGAGGGGAGGAGGTGGGCGTTTTACACCAAAAGGATGGTTTGACTTCCTGCCATTGCTGGTTTCCCCGGCTCTTGTCTGATTGCTGGGAAGTCCTTCCTGAAGTCTAACCCTCATCCTGCTGCAGCCTCAACCCATCTCCATCTCTTCTTGAAGTTTCCTCAGCAGGAGAAGAGCACAGTCAGCCCCCAGCTCCACACATCACCCTGCAGGTGGGCCTTCCTGGGACCCCACTCTCACCCCCACCCCTGAGGTCCTTTCCCACGGGATGAAGGGGCGAGGAACTGGGTTGGCCTCTGAGCTTTGGCAGGGAGCAGGGGCTCCCAGTGCCATAAGTCAAAGGTCCAGGTATGCAGAGCTCGGAGGGGCTCCCCCAAAGCCTGCCCGCTGCCCAGCAGAGGTCAGACCTAAACCTCAATGCTTCATTAGCCCTGCTGGGAGCAGGGTCTCCTCATTTCCCAAAGGAAAAGATTAAGGCACCCCCCCCCCCGCCCCCGCCAACATCTAACCTGGAGCAGGTGAGGGGCCTTCCTACCCCACCCCAACAGAAACCAGGAGCCCCACTGCTCAGAGGACCCAGCCCAGGACAAAGTCCACTGCCACACCCTCCGTACAGGCAGGATCCCTCCCTCCTGCAAACACAGGACGAAAGATCAAGCGTAAAATCCAAACTGGATCATTAACGGGAGCGCGGATGCGGATGCTCTGTCCCTCAAGGCCCACAGATGGCCTGAGGGGAGTCCGTGCCCCAGAACAGTGTTCTGTAGGGCATCCTAAGACACAGGCCCCAAGGGTCTGCCTCTCCCCACCTTACAGCTCCTCTCTGTCCCCGAGGGCCCTCGGATGCTCCTGGGAAGTGTGACACACCAGCAAGAAGGAAGCTGAGGGGCAGATGACAGTGGAATGAAAGATCCAAGAATCAGGGAGCTGCAGACAGGAATCCTGAAATGACCGCAAGGCATGAAGACTAGCTGGGACCCTCTGAGGTCACGGTTCGATTCCAGTCACATGCCCAGGTGGCTTCTGTATCCCCAGTGTGGGGCGTGCAGAAGGCAGCCGATCAATGAATTATCTCTTATTGATGTTGCTACCTCTCTCTCCCTCTCCCTTCCTCTCTGAAATCAATAAAAATAGATATTTTAAAATAAACAAAAAAACCTATATTTTAAATATATTAAAATCCACTAGCCCCCTGCATTCACTTCTGCCCCCTCCAATCTGTTCTCTGTACAGCAGCCAAGATGAGTTTTCCAGATAATATATTCATGAAACTCCTTCTCTCTGATCCTCATGGCTTCCTGATGCTTTGCAAGTCAAGATCTGAAGTGCCCTAAGGCAGCAGTCGCCAACCTTTAGGACCTCACGAACTACCAGTGGCCCACGGACCACCGGTTGGCGACCGCTGCGCCCAATGTGCCCCAGGCTCCTCATGGGCTGGCTCTGTCCACGACCCACCTGCTCACCAAGCTCACACCCCACTTCCTGGCTCCCTGCAAGGCAGGCCTCCTGGCCGTTTAGGTCCTCATATAACCTGAGCTCTCTCCTGTCTGGGCACATTCCGAGTCTTCTCCATAGACAATGACTTCTATTTTCCCTGAACTCACCTAGTTCACATTCACTTACCATTCTGATCTTTCCTTGCATGCCCCTTCCTCGGGGAAGCCTTCCCTGATTGTCCCATGCGGATCTAGTCCCCTGTCACATGGCCCTCCACCACCTCTCTTCCACTGAACTTTCACATTCAGTTGTGGGATTAGTACCAGAGGGCAGGGAACCATCTCTTTTTTATACACGTTTGGATCTCCAGCACCCAACAAAGTGAGTGGCACACAGTAGGGACTCAATATGTGAAGGAATGGCTGCTTTTATGTCAGGAAGGTGAGTGAGTAGAGACTGTTTCCCTGAGGCTTACACAGGCAGCTCTGACCAGTCACACTGTGAAGCTCAGAGCCTCCTCCAGATACTCAGATGGAATATATTCCCCCCCCCCCCCCCCCCGGTGCTCTAAGACCAGGCTGGGAGCTAGAGGGAGTGCTGTGGCTGCCACTGCTTCCCGGCCGGGGCTAGGGTTGTGATTGCTTCAAGTTCTCCAGAGGGGCCCCTGGAAAGCCCCGTGGCTTCCTACCACCATCTCCCTTCTGTTTGTCAGCTGCCCTATTGGTGCTTTTAGTGGCTTCCTCCTGTAGGCAAGAACGATGTTTCTTTCCTCTCGCCTTCCTTCCCAAATAGCCTGGCCTAGGACTCCGCTAGAAAGGCAAGGCCCGACTCAGCACCTCCCTTTTGTCTTCCCAGGCCTGGCCACCCCTCAACTGCAACTGTGGTCCTGGAAAACACAGGGGGAGCTTGGTGGGTGGAAGCCTTAGAGGGGGAGAGTGGGGATCTCAGAGTTTCTCTTTCCTGGATGAGGGTGTAAAGCAAGAACCCTGCCAGGGTACCTACCCAGGCGAAGGCCATGCAGGTGGGGTACATAGGCGAGGAGGCTGGCACGAAGGTGCGGTAGCGACAGAGCATCACCAGGCTGGCCAGCCCATTCAGGAAAGAGGCCACAGCAGAAGCTGGCTCTTGGAAGAACAGGAACCGGGAGAAGGGCCACTGAAAAAAGGAACACATGGGGCGGGCAGCTGAGGTGCAAGCAACCCCCAGCCGGCCCAACCTAGCTTTGACCTGCTGCATCGATAGTTCCTCAGCTGGGTCCTCTTCAACCTGCAGACCCTGTTGGCCTGCATTCAAGGCATTGGGCCTGATTCTCTCTCACTTCCTTTCCCCGCCGTTGAGTCAGTCAGCTCCCTCCCAGTCCCTGGCTGAGGGTCACCCCTCTATCCTGGCCAGCACTCGGCACTGTAAGCCTGGTCTCTGGGAAGACTGGGTGGGCCAGTACAGATGGCTCAGTATGGCGTGATAGAACCAGCACAGTCCTGCCATCTAGAAGACAGTGGTCCTAATCCTCCTCTACCTCTGACCACGGCCCTCTGAGCCACAGCTTACTCTGTGACAAACCGGGGAGAATAATTCTTGCCAACAACAGACTGGAACAAGATCATTATCGGATCATGCCCGGCCGGTGTAGCTCCGTGGTTGAGCGTCAACTTATGAGGAGGTCACGTGCCTGGGTTGTGGGGGGGACCCCCAGTCGGGGGCATGCAGGAGGCAGCCGATTGCTGATTCTCTCTCAACATTGATGTATATATTTTTAAATTTTTATTGTCTAAAGTTTTACATATGTCTCCTTTCCCCGCGATTGACCCCCTCCATCGTCATTATTGATATTTCTCTCTCTCTCCTCTCTGAAATCAATAAAAAATACATTTTAAACATTTCATTATCATATCAAAAGGCACCCGCAGAGGGTTCCTCCCTAGGCAATCGGAGGGGTATTGCTATCTTAATCCAGGCTCCTACTGAAGGAGCGACAGAGAAGATGCTGGGATAGGTGAGGGAATTTGTCCTTGAAGCAAGGCAGGCATCCAACAACTCTAAGAAGCCCAGGGCCACTCTCTGAGGAGACCCTAGATCTTATTCCAAATCTAGAGGCAGGACACAGTGGTCCCATCTGATTCCCATATGAAAACCAGTATATTCTGAGAAGAACAGGCACCTGTACCAAATCCAGGTTACCCCACCCTTCAGACTGTGCCGTCCAACTTGGAGGCGGGGGGGCATATTACTCCCACCACACTCCCACCATCTGCCTTCCCCGACCCTCCAACTCACCTTGCCATGGAACTGAGGCACTTTGTGACCTTCCTGGAGGTAGAGGCCAACGGTAACCCACATACACTCATACTTACAGTCGTCCTGACAGGTCCAGCCTGAAACAGATAAATCGGTCGGGTGAACTACCCAGTATGGGAGGCACAGAGAGAGCTTGAATGGGGCCTACACTTGAATGCAGGCCAACAGGGTCTGCAGGTTGAAGAGAACTAGAAGAAATCTCAGAACTCCAGGTTCCCACTTGGATGGATAGGAGATGGGACATGTGTGTGCTCCGGGGGGTGGAGGGGTATAGGGAGCAAACAGATGGTTCTTCTTTCTCTCAAGACGAGGATCTTGACATCTGATGGACTAGTCTATGGATTCCTGGGTTTATGCTTGCCTTTCCTGAACTCAGGGTTTGTGCTCACTCACCAGGGAGGAGCACTTGCTATCTTAACTCCCTCCTATAAAAGCAAAGCCCAAATTCTTCAGTCTGACTTTTAAGGCCCCAAGTTGTCTTTCCAGCTTTATTGCCCAATACTCCTTTTTATGCATCCTGCTCCCTGAGTACACTAAGCCTCTGGATGGGCCTTCATCTGCCCAGAGCCTCCCTCTCTGTTTCCCCTGTCTAGATGGGAAAGGGATAGTAAAGAGAACGAACTTGTCGTTACACGGGCCAGAACTGGACACTCTACATACCACTTACTGGCTGTGTGACTTTGGGCAGGCGCTTAACCTCTCTGAACTCCCTATCTGTAAAATCGGAATCCACCTCAAAGGGTTGTTAAATGGACTGTTTTGGCACCTGTCACACAGAAGGTGCTCACGATGGCCACAGGTCCAAATGTAATGTATCCCTCGGGAAGCCCTTCCTTCTTGAGATGTTCTAAGATGATCGCTGCCCCCAAACCCTCAACACTAGAAAGGAATCCTTCCTCCCCTGTATGGTCCTGTTGCTGAATCTAAAGATCCTTTATGGCTCGAGTCATCCTGCGCCTTGCACTTGAGAAGCTTGTCCCCATGGGGGCTGTGAGCATCATCGAAAGGCAGGACCCTGGTTTGATTTCAGTGTCATTCCAGGGCCCTGGACTCTGGACTATTAAATAAGTACCCGTTTGATTGGATAAATATAAAGTAAATGAGAGTTTCTGGGAAAACACAACTGAATGATGAGCCTCTCCTTATCCTGGGGCTCCACTCACACTCACAACGAGTCCTGGGTAGGAAATTAAGGTTCAGACGTTGCAGAGGGGTATTTGCGGGGGATGAGAGAGAGGCGGGGCCACGGCGAGGGGCGTGGCGCGGGGGGGCGTGGCTTACCTGCTAGGCTCATGTAGATTGGCTGGCGGGAGCGGAAGTGCTTCAGCGCGTCCCCTGAGCAGTTCCGTTCCTCGCAGCGCAGCACGCAGTCGCGGTACACCG